AAGATTCTAGACAAAAACAAGAGCTGTCTACTAAATTTATATTTTCTTTATACAGTACATATAGGTGGATACATACATGTACACAATTCCAGAATTTTATTACTGTCATGTAACTATTCTATATTTGCTGCAAGCAAACTAACCTTATTCCCAATTCTAGACAATCCAAAATCCAGTCCAGCTAACTACTGTAGCAATTTTATTTGACAGGTGGTGTTTTTAAGTGCTATTGAGGCAGTTCTGACTTATAGTAACCCTGCATAGGGTTTGAACCGCCAACCTTGTCATTAGCAAGCAGTCCAGTGCTTATTTGATACGCAAAATAGGAAATATTGACTCTTGGAGAGTGTGGCTCTGTAGAATAAGCACTGGACTGCTTACTGCGAGGGCAAACTCACCAGCTACTCCTCCAAAACCCTATACAGGGTTGCTATAAGTCAGAACTGACTTGACAGCACTTAACAACAACAATAATTTGATTGGAGGGTGGTGGAAGTGATATTTTAATAACTGAAAATGAGGTTGAGAGGTGGGAAAGAAATCAATAGATACAAATCTCAAAAATATTATCTTACATAGTATTGTTTTTATTGTTAAGTTCTGTTGAGTTGGTTCAGACTCATAGTTACCTTGTATAGGTTTTCCAAGGCTTTACATCTTTGTGAGAACAGAAAGCCTTGTCATTCTCTTGTGGAGCATCTGGTAAGCTCAAACTGCAGAATTTATGGTTTAAAGCCCAGTGTTTATCGTACAGATCCATCACATTCCCTTGATAGTATTCGATTACTTTAAAATAGAGTAACACTATAAAGCTTGTTTTGAGGTAGAAGCATGTACTATATGTAGACAACTATATAGTAACATCAGGCATAAACCAGGACAATTGGTGACCATATTTAAAGCTCTGTGCCTGTTTAATTATTCTATATTAAGGAAATTATATGTTTAATACTGCTTGCTGTTCTTTTTTAGTGTCCTTATGTCCTGGTGTGGTGCTATAAGGCAAAGCACTGGATACAGGGTTGGTTTGAACCACAAGTTGGGCTATTTAAACTTATCAGCTGCTCATTGGAAACTGTATATAGATCATTATGAGTCTGAACCAACTCAGTGGCACTGAACAACAACAATACTAAATATTTTTTGGATTTCTGGTGTGGTGCTGTATGATAACCATTGCTGGTAACTGAAAGGTTAGTGGTTCAAACCCACCAACTGCATCTTTGAAAACCTATACAGGGTTGCTATGTTGGAACTGACTCAAAGGTACTTAATAATACCAGCAAAAATATGTTTGTTTGTTTTTTTCTTAAATGTTTTATTGTGAATTATGTATGTGATAGTTTACATGGGAGAACATTAATTTTACATTCATTCTATCGTTTATTGTCTCATTGCCATGGTTACAATCCCCTCAATGCATCATCAGCCAACCAAAGGGTATACCCTGCAATCCTGCCCCCCGTACTACCCAGGTCTTCAGCACACAGCCCCTCTCCCTCTCTGGATCTAAAGTCTCCAGCTGCTCCATC